AATATCAACGTAGTGTTATACATGTGGCTTAACTACCTTAAGGAATTTAGGTTTAATAAGATGTTTGTAAATACTTTAGGAGCTCCCTGGGAAGAACATGCCTTATCAACATATTTAAAAAAAAAAAAAAAAAAACTAGAGAAACAGATGCTCATACCCTGAAGTTACCCTGAAATATTAGACAAAAACGGTGAATTACTGACTTGTTCAGTGATTTATAGTAAGTTTTTTTCTAATTCTGCATGCACAAGATCAGTTGTATGCAAAAATTCAATGTGCTCTGCAGTAAACAAACAGCATGTGTTAAAAGTAAAATGTAAGTGTTTGTTGTGTAGACTGTAACCATTAACTTCCTGTCAGAGTGGACAATCGAGCCGCACATGTGTGTGCACACTCATACAAGTCTGAACAAATGAGGTCAGGGTTCAGAGTTCTGTTGCACTATGACTGTGTTGAGAGATTTTTTTTTTCCCCCCCAGCAGTGAAGCAACAGGAGGTTGGCTTAGAGTAAGGATACCTGCATATTGCACAAAGTGCTGGCCAAGGGGTAGATGAATGTGCCATTTGAATGATAAACACTTCTCAGTCTGTCCCTTAGCTATTGACAAGCTCAGCTCCAGTCACTTCCAGACCAAGATGCTGGGAGTGACCATTTTCAGTTCTCTCCACTGCTCAGCTGCTATCACAAGTTGTCATATCAGCCTACTAATAGGGCTTCAGTTCAAGTCCATGCTTTCTCTGATACCTGGGGACCAGGGCCAATCACTATAGGGGGCCCTGCTTGTTTCAGAATTCAAAGTGACTGAGTGAATAAGCCATGAACTTCCTGATGGCAAGGACTTATTTCTCTGCATCCTCCACAGCCTGGCAGAGTGTGTCCAATGTATTAATTTGAGGAGTTGATGGAAAGGTAAAAGTTACCAAAGGGGAGGAAAGAAAATCTTCTGAGGTAAACAGAACACTTATGCACCAAATCCCAGGTGTCACTGGATTCTGGGCTCTTGAATAATGGGAAGAGGCCACAAGGTGAACAGAGAATGGAAGGAGAGAATCTGAGGAAGGTTAGTGCAGGCCTCATTCTTGTCTTTGTTGGCAACTATTAATATAAAGGCAGCTGGAGAAAAACCCAAGGCACTGGAGATAATCAGGCTAGCCGCCCAAGTGAATGGTTCCTTTTCTGTTTCTACCTTGAGGTAATCTGCTACCCATACTTTGGGAGCTTCTAAGACTAGGCCCAGCTAAACAGCTAAAGCAGGAAGAAAAGTGTTAATCTCCACAGCCAGCAGAAAGTGTAAGACGACCAACTAAAATAGCAGTCACTTTTCTTATGACCATTGGTGTAATTAGGTCTGAAAAGACAGTCTCTCAATTCTCATCTTAAAAAGGTGGAAAATCTCACCATATACCAGTTCCTCAGAGCAATGGAATTGCCCAGGAAACCTTCCTATTGCAAATGTTTTTATGGTTCTGGAAACTTCTGTATTTCTCCCCTGGGAAGACTCCCTCATGTGTTTGCAACCAAGTCCCAGAAAGTACAGGTCATGAACACTTTACAGAGGTGATGTGCAGGGAAAGAAAGACCAAAGCTTGGGAGTTAGATCTCGGTTCAAAGTTTTGGCTGTATGCTTATTACAGATGACTGAGTTATTGATCTTTGAGCCTTTCTAATTCCAAATCTGTAAAATAGGTCTAATAAAACTGTCCCCACAGGACTATCCTAAGGAATATTATGGCCAGCATGTTACCTGGCCTCTGGTAGATGCCCAAATGTAGGTCTTTCCCCCATGCTAATGAAATGAGTTTCATTAGTAAGATTCCATATCTTACCAAACAACTCCAAGGATCAGCAATCTAAGACGTGTGGGAGGAAAATACTAGAAAGGAGCAAACTGCTCACACTGAATCAGGCTCTGGCCTTCCCTCAGCTCCCAAGTCCAGTGCCATGGTTCCCCCACTGTTGGGCTGAACAGCCTAGCACTTAGAATGCTCATGAATCAGACTTGGGTCCAAATCCTAGTACAGCCACTTACTAGAAGCAAGACTGCAGACATATAATGTAATCTCAGCTCCATCATTTTAAGGCAAGAAAGTAAACATGAGTATGGGATGAATCAATCTATCTAAAATGCTTAGCACTGTGCCTAGCACAAGTCAACACTCAAATATTATCACATCACCATTTGTCACCTAGCCAGCAGAACTCTAGTGGATGACAGGTTGAGAAAAAAATATACCTCTAAGGGGAAAAGCCATCAAAAAGAACCTCAGGAGTATTAAATGCATAGCTTTAAGAGTAAAAATCAGCCTTTGTGACATTCACTCTCTGGGAGAGTGGCCTATATAAGTAGACCAGCATCTTGATAAATGGACCAGAGCCTCCACCACCCTAGAATCAGCTAGGGCTGCTGGGAAGAAACTTGTAAAGAAGGTAAGCCCATGTTATTCACTAGACACTACCTTCTCTTTCCTTAATCTTTTCTTCTTCTTCCTGGGGCTCTGACGCAAGTACTTGGTTTTCCAGGGTCCCTCACTTTTCGTTGCAGCCTAGCCTCTTCCTCAGCTTCCTCCCCCGTCCACCTAAATCACGGTTTTGAAATACTATTCCATGTACCAAGGCTAGACCACCTGCCTAAGAACTACATGGAGAGCTTGTTAAAAATACAGCTTCTCAGAAGTTTCCACCCTCAGGAAATCTGACCCAGCAGATCAGAGATGGGGCCTGGTCACCCAGTCTTTTTTAAAAATCCCCCAGTAATTCTTAGGTGTCATCTTATCTGGGAATTACACCAAAAATCAATTTTACCTCTCCTGTGGCCCAGCTGTCCTGGGCCTTTCTTTCCCCTGACCTATCTAAAAACCTCATCTGTGTTTGGGCCCATGAATCATTAACTGGCAACAACTTTATATTCTCCTTCCAAGATCTTATATAAAGAACATGTTAGGTCATGAACTAAAATATGATAAATTTCAAGAAAAATGAAGAGATATTCGGAATCCCCCCCGCCAAGTCCATTCTCTATAAATGGGGCTGACCTTATAAAATACTGTGGGCTCCAGCTCTCCTGTCCTCTCTCCACTTCCCTGGTGGAAAGGCAAAGGTAGCCAAGAAGGACATACAGGGTATGAAAGTTTGGAGACAAAGAGGTACCCTAAGTGTGCAGAATCAAAAACGAACATTGTACTGAGCATCGAAAACTAAGCACCACCCAGAGGACCTTATATGGATTATCTCACTCAGCACTCCCATCTATGAGTATTATCCCGGTTTACAAATTTAAAAATAGAGATACAAAGAAATTAACTTGCCCAAATTCAGAGCAGACAAGTGGTTGAGGAGGTCAGTAAAAGAGTATTTCATAGGAACCAGAGAATCTGTCGAAGTGTGAAACGTTAGATTAGCAAAGACATAGCCTTTCCTCTTTTTCCTTCTCCAGAGAGATTAGAAAAAAGATAAAACTTTTGGAAGGAGGAAACAAAAAAAACTGCATAGCAAGAAACCAGCAGTATCCCCCAGACTTTTCAGGGGGGAATTACTGAACTAGAGCTTTAAGGCCCCTTTCTGACCTGTGGCATAGGACATTCAGGGCCTTTCTGTTCTCCCATTGCGGGAGCATACAGATGGTGAGCAGGGCAACAAGAAGAATGCTACCTGGACTGAAGTTCTGGAAAACTGAAGGAGCCAATGAGCTCTTGAAAGCAGAGAGGAGGATAGCAGCAGGGGCCAGGTTTCTCCAGGCTGCCCACGTTAGGGCGGTATGGTGAAAAGGAGCCCGTGGTTCTATAGAAACTTTGTCCAGACTCACTTATTATAATGTGGCTGAAGTCACAATTCTTCCCAAGTCCAGAAAGTAGCTTAAATAAATCAAAATGACCACGACTCATTTCAAGATGGCAGAAGCTCCCTTAAGCCTGCCATTAATTTCTGTTCTCTGCTCTTCCTGGCCCTTTTTCCAAAAGAAACTGCAGAGCTGGAATTGCAAGCACATTCGAGTACCTCCTCATCAGAAATGGAGTCTGGAGCTGATTAACCTTGGATTTTTTTTTTCTGCATGTTCAGTTCCAGAAAGGAGGTTGTCCCCAACATGCCAGTTCCTTATCCTAGGCCTAATGGAACAAGTCCTGTGTCTGAACAGTCATTTTAACTTTGACAGTACCATTAACAAGAACCAAAGATTGATGGGCACTGCTAGCAATGCCAAAAACTTTCTCTGTGAGATCACTCTCCACAAGGATTTTCAGTGGATTCTAGAGAGATCAAAACCTTCCCTTCAACCACCATTAGCCAGTTGTCCAGCCACAAATGATCCAATGGAGACCACGAGTCTTTTTTCAGTTCAGAGTAAACCTGACTCCAGTGTCCTACATGGGGGATGAGATCTCCTTTCCAACCTAATTCATGATGCCCGATGAAATCCCCCCAGGTCTCACAAACAGTCTTGCCAACCACTGGCAAACTGAAAGGCTCATTCCTTTGCAGAGAATGGATGGGGTCAATTCCCAAAGATTCAAAGCACAGCATCTTTAAGAAGCCTCCATTTGGAAAAGATATTTAAGCAAAGCTGTGCTTCATGAAGTGAAAGATAATTAGTTGCTTCAGTGGCACGGGCTTCTCAGCTTCATTCTAAGGTAGATGGGCTCATTCGCTTCCAAGTCAAACGAACTCAACAACAATATATCATAGTTAACTGTGATCACAGCTCCATGGAATTTCAGCTGGTGCTCAAGTCCACGGAGGTGCACTTACAATTCCCCAATCTGTAATCAACCTTTTGTACATTTGTTCCTAATCACGATACTGTTTCATCTTAATGAACTGTTTTCTTAGCATATTACGGTTGGTCATTTCAGCACATCTAATGGCCCATTTGGTAAGTTAAATTACAATTAGAGCCCCTTGGTTTTTATTTCCCAGCAAGGCCTGGAGGGGGTTGATATTTTTCCCCCTTCCCACTACTTGATTTCAAGGACAGAATTGCAGAAGAACAGAAGCACAGACCTACCTGTTGCAGTCGACGTGGAGCAGGAGATGAGAGGCACTAAGGGACAACGCAATCTTATGCCACTGTCCATCTGCCAGCCGGTATGGAAGCGCCTCGGTCCTGGGCTTCCCATTATGCATATAGTGGTATCGGATCTCATCCCTCAGACCACTGCTCTCCAGTTCAAAATAGCTGCATGTAAAGGAACAAAAACTTGATTTTACTTCTAGACCTCCCAGTCATTGATCTTCACTTCTTCTCTACCACCTTTCTCAGAATCTGCAATTAGCTACACATGACACAAAGATCTCCTAACCAAAAATCAATTGTACTGCATGGAATCCAATTCACCCATTGGAGAACCTCACCGTGACACCTTGAGCTTCTGAAATGGGTACCGATTGATCCACTGTGAAGAGAGCCACAAGCTTACCGAAGCATGGTGCAGGGTCTCTTCCAATACCTAGAAGTACAGTTCAGAACCCTCTATTGTCTAAAAAAGCCTATTCACGTAGAATGGACTTAATGATGCTTATTTTTATTACTGCCATATTTACTTTTTCAAGAATTAAAGAACGGAAATGATGTTGGAATATCAGGGACTGAAATAAATTTAGGTAAGATTGCTTTACTAAACACATTCCCCTTGGACAAAAACCTTTAAGGGGACAACAATTCTTCGAGGAGGAGGAGAGAAATGGTTGAAGCTACTCATATATAGACCAGTATTTCAAATTATGATGTCATGAGACATGCAATTGAGTCTTTTCTTTCCCCCAAATTGTTGGGGCATTTTCCAGATCCATGAAAAACTCAGCACCATCACTGCAGTCTGCACTTTTGTCATAAAATGCAGAAGTTTGGGACACTCCTCAGGCCCACACCAGGACTGATACTTTCAGTGGCAGACCATTTAGTCTAAGCCTCTGAAATGCATCATCATTGTCATTAAATCAGGCCTATTCTCACTGCCAGGCATTGCACTAAGCATTCAACATACTATCTAACTTATCACCCCTACAAACCTAGAAGGCTGATACTATCTCTCTTTAAATGTTAAAAAAAACAGATTCTGGAATTAATCTACCCGAGCTGTAATTTAAACTCAGGTCTAAATTCGCCAGCCCATGTGCTTTCTACCAGCTTGCTGTCAATCTCTGAGGCACAATGACCAACTAGTAAGGATGGCCTCAACTGGCACTGTCTCCCAGCAATTCATTCGTATAGACAACTCAAAAATGACCTGCCTATGTAAGAAACCAGGTTCCATCCCTAGATTTGAAAGGACCTACTGTTTCTCTTCTAATCAGCCGAGTTGGCCTAACCCCACTGACCAGACCGTAATTTAATCTAAAACACAAGTTATCTTCTATGAGCACTGAAATGAATAGATCATGAAACTCACCCTCTATTATGCAGGACTCCCAAGTCATGTGACAAAGAACAAATGCATATTTCTTGCTTATCTTTCACAGGGATCCTCCCAAAAGAGCAGTGCTGGGGAAGATCAGACTCTGACCTACGTACATCACACTAGACAGAATCAGGCCTAAGGTCATAAACCAAGGAGGTTACTTATACTATTGCAGCCAGCTCCCGGGCTCAGGTACACACTTATTAGTAATAATATAATACATATTTTATAAGACTGCAAAAAAGAAAATCCCCTAACATGGAAGACATTCATTTTAAGGGAATTCTCCAAATTGCGTCTAAGCAGCTAGAACATTGAAAGAATCAAAATCTCAGAATTTAAAAGGTCAGGAAGACCTTAGAGATTATCTGGTCATTCATTAATTTATTCAACGTTTTGTTACTGAACACATAGTAAAGGGCTAAAAAAAGGATTTAAAATACCGATCTTGTTCTCAAGATGCTCTGAGACTAGCAGAAAAGGAAATAAAACGTGGCCCTCATACAAAAGTCAGAAACAAATGCAAGACAAAGGAAGCAGTCATGTCATGTGCTAGGAATGGACTCACTGCTTTCATAAATGTCATCTAATTTCTTCAAGTTAGGTATTTTTATCCCTGTTTTACAGAGTTCACTTGTGATTAGGGATTTTAAGTACCTTACCCAAGACCACAGTTTCTGAATTTAAAAAAGCAGCATGATTTTGGGTAAGAGACCTCACCAAGATCATGAGAAATCTCTCAATTACTTCATTTTGACCAATAAGCTACTGTTGCGAGAAGGGACAGGACCTTAAACAGGATGTGAAAGACAATTAGAAATGCTCCTATTGACCACCTGATAGAATTTAAAAGGGGGGGGCAGGCAGAGCTATTTAACCAGGTTCAATCATTGTTCCTGGGGTTATGGCTTCATTGAGCAAGAGCTCATTACACGCATACCTTGCAAAGATTACTGTAGCAAGCTATTACCTCGGGGTAGTCTCAAACCTATAGCTCCAAGAGAAGAAATCTGCCCTGTTAGGCAAAATAGATACTCGTGTCTTAGGGGAAAGTTTCTGACAGCATCGTGTACATATTCAAGAAGTGCTGTATTCCAAACTTAGATGAAGTCAGAATGGGGTGTTTTGGGTTTTGTTTTATACACATCAAGTAACTGCTGAAATGGTCCTAAACACAACAAGGACACTGCATGGCTAAGTTCCATCTGGGTAAGATGGTTTCCTGGGTGCTGGGAGGGGAATAAGGCAGTATTTCCAGAGAGTAACCCTCTGCTAACAGAAGTGTGAGCCTCAGTCCTCAAAGCAGCTTGGAGATGGTCATTTGGCCTGACGACACTTGCTGGAGCCTGAAAAGACTCAGGATTTGCAGTAGAGCCCTGTTATTCAAAATATGGTCCACACACCAGCAGCACCACCACCTGTGGAAATTCAGACTGTGGGGGCACCAAGACCTAGAGGAGTCAGAATCTCCATTTTAGCATGACCCCCAGAGGATTCAGGTGCCCATTAAAATTTAAGCAGCACTATAGGAGAGTACCCAGGTGTTGCTTTACTTCCTGGACAGCTGGTTCCGGTGAGGGAAGCAGCAGTTTGATGCCATGAGCAAGTAAGAGCCCTGGTGTGCTGCCAGGGAGGAGGGGGGCCCTGGAGGTGATCATGTAAAGAAGAGTCTGGTAAGCTCTCTGCACCTGACCAGTCTGCTTTCTTCAGGTCTCAAGTGCTTAGAGGTCTTCTGCGGATTTTAGGGAGGGGCCAACTATATGAATGATAAAAATCACCAGCCAGACTTGTAAGCAGCACTTCTCCCCTTGGCTTTGGGCCTCAACCAAGTCCTCAGCCAAAGAACTACTGTGGCTCCCAGAGAGGTCTGTTCTTCCGGCAAATAACTGAAAACAGCAAAGACATTCACTACAGAGTTCTCCTTTTCAGATGGAACATCCCTAGCATCTTCTTTCTACCCCTCTACACCACCTAGACCACAAAGGCCCTCCTGGACATGGATTCTCTGCCTTACTCCTCTTTCTAGATCCTTCCGCATGCTGGTCACCATGCTCTAGCTGTAGTAAAATGAATCATTTCCCCTTGTGTTGCATCCAGGAACACAGACATTGTCAGGACTATGCACAACCATGAGTGTATCCTAATGCTTGCAAGGACCTTCCCATTATCTAACACTGCAAACCATTTCATACAAAATGTCATGAAGGTAATCTTTCCCACCCTGTATTTATACAGCTAGTTTTTTTTTTAAACTTACGCCCTTGCTCAAGTGCTAGGGAGACCCTATCCCACCATCAGCATGAATAATTCTCCAAAGCCCACCACTGAGTATGATGAACAGTTACTATGAAGTTTTACAAGACTTCCTGAATTTCATGCAATATTAATAATTCAGGAATAATTCCAGTTAATATAGTTAGATCAAGATCAGCCAAGTAATTTTTATTAGACTTTTTGTCCTTTTCCCTAAAACTTATATTAAGGGATCCATTTTTTTTAGCTTATTAAAGAAATTTAAAATTTGAAGATCATACAGCTGTAAGTGGCAAAACTAGAACTTGAACCCTAGTCTGATAGACACTAAAGTGGATTCTCTCAATGGCAACACCCCATTACTTTCTACTATGTAAGAAGTTTTAAAACTAGTACCACTTATTTTGCCAAAATCTTAAATGGTAGTTATTAAATTCACATTTTAAGGTAAAAAACAGAGGCTCAACCTGATAAAGTGCCTTGACCAAAGTCATGTAACTCCTAAGATTCAAATCCAGGTCTACTTAGTTCCAGGATTCATGCTCTTCTCACCACATCATATTCCTCTCCAGGTACAATGGTATGACCCTATAAAGGTCAGAGGGCAAGAGAATTCAGGTAGACTCAGCTCCCCCAGCCTTAGTCCCCAAGATGCCCCATCCTGGCAAAGAATGTCCCTGCAGACTCAAGCACAAGCCCCATTCCTCCTGCCATGAGAAAGTTCTCACCATTTTTTTTAAATGATGTAGGTGTTCATACAGAATCTCACTTCCATCTTCTGGCCATTTGCCTACTGCTGGGATAATAAAGTAAAGCTGCCAAAAACACCACGGAGGTATACCGTGTCCAACCTCAGGTCAGGGGTCTCAAGGACTATGTAATTTTTGGGGGGAAAAAAAGGCAATAGCATAATTTTAAGTAATATTGCAAAGAACACTGGCCCAAGGATACCAAGACTTGATTCCAACCTTACACCTGCTTCAAACCATGAAATCCTTGGCAAAAATATCCCTGCCCCTCTGTACTTCAGTTTCTCCTATCCATTAATGATCAGATCTGATCCATAACGCCCCAGCATTCCTTGGAAAAGTTTTAGGGTCTAAGGCACAGGGAAGGGATTGGGCACCAGAGAAGCTTCACTCTCTGTTGTGTAATTTGGAATTTCCCCTAAGATTTCATTTAGATAAAAGAGATACACTTCCAAAGATAGTCTGACACCACTGAACTAAGTCTTCAGGGTCCGGTTTATGTCTAGATTTCTGTAATTCATCTAATACTCTAAAAAGTATCCATGGTGATAAAGCTATTGCTAAGCTAAACATAGAGGGGACATGAATATAATCCTCTCCCATCTTGTTTAGGACAACCCACCTTACATGGTCCAGTATTGTTTTGCAAATGGTATTTTCCAAAAACACTAATGTTATCTCCCATATCACATGTGCTTCAATGTAATCTTGATATTCTTCTGATTGGAAGGTTTAGATCTATGTCCCCTCCCCTTGATCTGGGGGGGCTTGTAAGT